TTACTTTAGGCATTATTTTCTTAATTTAAACTTGGAATAATGAAGGATGATTTGTATCTAAGATTCTTGCTTTCACATGAGCATTTCAATAATTTTAAGAGACACCTGCAGAGTCAGCACAGTTTAGATATATACTATGGTATGCTGAAGGTTTGAATAACTCCATTTATTTAAATCTGTAAAGGGAAAGAAAATAGGCACAAGAATAGACTATACACAAATAATCTCTTGATAGCAAATGCTCTTGGTGGTTCATAATTGCCAGTTGAAACTATCGTATATCCTTAAAATGGATACAAAGTTCATTAAATTTACAATCAAGAAATAGTTCTTATAAAATTCTACTCTTGGACATGTTTAATCTTAAAGATCTTTGTAGCATAAAAGGGAAGATGGGGTCTGATTTTTTTAAAATATTAATCTTTAAATTAAATAATATGTGCTAACATCATCTGATCAACCTATCTGGAGACTATTATAAATAACTTTTAGAAACCTTATTAAGTTTACATTAAATAACATGTAAATTTCATGATAAACAGATTTTCCAATATGCACTATTTCCTCAAGAAGCAAGCGACTGAATTAGTTTAAAGATTTTTTGAGGTATTTTTAGAAAAAATAAAAACATCAAAGAGTTGGGGATTAGGAAAAGGTAATAGTCAAAAGTAAATGAATCAGGATATTGGAAAACAGCATCATAATGTTCTTTATATTCTTAGAAAATTCATAAATATTGGAACACAAGTATAAACATAAATATTCCTCTCTTAATCTCTCCTCTTTGAAACACTGATGTGTGAATTAAAGATGTCCATCAGAAGTGAATTTTCATGCTATGAAAGTATCAGAGGGAGTATTCTTATAGATATTAATCATGAAGATATAAGATGAAGCCTTCTCTCTGAGAAATTAAATATGGGTAGTTAAGATTTCATTTGATACTCAATTGCCCTGAAATCCTAAATCACCAAAGCAACTGGAGGATGTAAGTATAGAAAACAAAAATCAGTAGAATGTGAGTAAATCAGTTCCAGGGACACAAATGGTAGGTAATTGCTATTTGCTGAACTGACCTTACCTGTAAGGAAATGACCAGTAGTGTCAATGTTTCCTGGTTGTCAAAGGGAATGTGCACTGAGTGAAAGAAGCATCGATCACTTTTAGCAGAGCCATTCAATACATTGGTGAAGACCGAAGCCAAGAAGAAATGGTTTTTAAAGTTAATGGATATAAGGGTAAGTCCAGCTGACAAACCTCAATGACTCAAACAACAAACAAACAAAGAAAAAAGTTCTAAGTTGAAAAGTACTTGGTGGATGAATAGAAAAACATGCAAAAGAAAAACAAAATAATTAATGAAATCAGAAGAAATAAAATGTGCACTTCTTGAAAAAGTGAGGGAAAATCCTTCCTGTGAGAATAAAAATGCAAAGAAATTTCAAAGTAGAAAGGAAAAAATTGGGAGAACTCACATGAATTCCCTGATTCCTTCAAATTAATAAGAAGGTTGTTATTTGCATAGAGATAAGGGTCAGACTTTTGAAAAGTGGAAAATGAGTTAAATAAGTTCTGGAAAATGTAATGGATAATCCATTAAAAATAAAGGCAAAATTGACTGAACTGTACATTAAGCATTGCTGATTTTGGTTTTACTTCAACACATTTAGTGCTGATTTTTTTTGTTTGTTTTAGTTAGCCTTTGACTCAATTGCCATCTAGTCATCCATTTTACATGTTAATGAATGTTGATCATATTAGTATTGATATCAATATATTCAACTTACACTTATTGAACTACCTCAAGAGACTTACAACTATACTTTGAAAAATATACAGATCTTAATACTGAAATTAGGTTAGAAATATGACACACTATCTCTGTTCAACCTTTAATGTGTCAGAGTACTATTCAATTGAGTAGTACTTAAAGTCTTGTGATTTAAATAGTATAGGTGAAATCTTGATGTAGTAATTTAATAAGATAAAGCCAAGGTCAGCCTTGGTCAATTTTTGAAGAAAGATATGAAAGACCTGCAATTTCTCTAATGAAAATAAAATCACCTCAGAAAATATCTTATGTGGCTGAATGCTACACTAGTGTAGTGTTAAGCAAAAGGTAAAAAAAAAAAAGTCAAGAAAACTGACTTTATAAAGCACAAAAATCTTTTTAAGGAGGCATTGTAGTGTAGCAACTCTAATGTATTAGAATGAAACTTAAAAGTGCTTATAAAATGGGAGCGTGATCTAAGCAGAATACCATGGAGGGTTAATGGGGTTTGCAGTCATCTATAGTAAAAGCTAAGATCCTACCAAAGAGAAGGTTTAGCAGTGGTACATGGACGATCGCAGAGCCTGTGATCCACATATTCAGAGCACAACTGCCTCAGAATAGGTAATTTGCTTCTTTAGTCTCAGACAGAGTTAGCCAATGGACTGTTTTATTCAGAAGGTTTAAAAATACTGTTAAAGCACATAGCTGGAGTATTCATGGAAGTTTTGTTGTTGTTGTTTTACCACATACTCATAATTTCATCCAATAACATTTTTGAAAACATAACCAATAAAATTAAGAGTTTTTATTCCCTCTCTCTCACTCAGTATGCTACTTTTATCTGCTTTGAGTTTGGAGCAACGAGGCACTGTAAAACTAAGGGAGTAGAAAATGTATTTATTGACCACTACTACTATAAGCTGATTTCCGTGCTTCTTGGGCTGGCTAGTATTTAAAAGCTAAACTTTATTTCTCATGTGTGCTGTTACCTGTTTTTTGAAAACACCCTATCACTGGTCATTTCTCACCTGTAGTTTTGTTTTTGAATGTGGAAAGACAATTTCTCCACTAGATCACTTACAATTGCTTCCTCTAGCATCCAGTGTCTCTTTACTGAATGCATCTCGAAACTCCTGGCAGCTCTGTCTTGAGTTCTTCAGTACTCCTTATGTGATCCACAGGAAAAACAGTATTTCCTTTTTTCCCTTTTCTCCTGCTATCCCATCTTCCCCACCACTAAAACAAAGAAACAAACAAACAAAACTTTGAAAACATTGGCAGTCTCCAATTCAACAACCTCTCTTTATCATTAGTCATTGGCCAGACACAATTCCCAATCCTTTAGATTTCACAAACATAAATCTGAAGCTCCAAGATATAAATCAGTTTCTCTGAGTGCTGCATTACAGTATCTTTCCAAGGCTTGAGCCAAAAGTAAAAGCACACCTTATCATAGGGAAAAAAGGCAAGGAGAGTCAGAGAATACCAAAGCTTTCCCTAAAAATCTAAGTTACACGCAGACTACATATTAGGTCATGATGAAGAAGGACCCGGTTGGGACTACTATAGTAGAGGCCTTACAGTGCCCCTGGCTTCATTGTCCTATAGCTTAACAATAGATTGTCCCCAGCAGCTTGACCCAGAGTTTGGAATGTCCTCTGCCATAGAGAGTTGCCCTAAAATTTACAATTAATGCCCTTATGCTCACCGATCACAATCCTTCTGGTCTAGCATTCTTTCCAGACTACGCTCACCTTCGTTCCTGGGTTGCTAACACCACGAGGGACCATCTTGCCAGAGGAACGGCTTCATGAAGTATAACAAACACTCCACACACACAACTTGTCACGTAGCTCCTGGAATAATGCCCAGATTTTCCCTTAAATACCGTAAGCCAGACTGAGAAGGGAAGAAAGTTTTTGAGTGTGTTAACCTGCTGCCTTCTCAGATCACCGGTGCTCTGAAAATAAATGCTAGTTCTAAATATCCTAACTCCTGTGTTAGTCTCTTGGCTGAGAAGCACAGGCAGCACGAGCTGTAAATTCAGTTGCCCTCCGGTTACAATAATGTTATATTAGATAATAATATTATAAAGTAATAATAATGTATCAATTGAAATAAAAAGTTAAAAATAAACTGAAAAGAATTGGCTACAAGAAAATATAAGAACAATGTAATATCAAATAATAAGTAATTAAATGACAATTTCATGTTAAATTTACTATTCATTACAATTTTTCAACCACCTAAAAAAAAATGTACTTAGAACCCAGAAATATTTGCCATATATGTTCTTGGGCTTCAACTAAAACTATTTCAATTTCAATAAAATGTACAAAGATGCAACTATTTGGTGTATTTAAACAATATTTATTTTCCTACATTTTTATAACATTTAAGTATATGAGAATTGATAAAGTAACTCTGGTTCTGCTGAATAAAGAAACAGCCATAGAAAATAAATATTGCTTAAATCCTTGTTTTTGTTTTTGTTTTTTTGAAATAGCACGTATATTTTAAAGTTAGTATCAATTAGGAAAATTTCATTCAAACATTTTTTAAACAGTATTGCTGAGTTTAATTCTTTTTAAATATTCATGCAATATTTTTGTTCACTCTACTTCTGATTGAATAATTTCTGTTAATCTTTTGAAGTTAACTCTTTTCTTGACATTTCCATCTGCTTTAGAGCTCATACAGTGTGTTTCTTATTTTTGATATTGTAATTTTCTGTTCTAAAATATCCATTTTGTTGTTTTTATGTTTTCCAATTATCTGCTATAATTTTCAGTCTTTACATTATTGTGACCAAATATTCCTTTCATGTTTGAGCACAGTTATAATACAGTCTTTAAAATTCTTGTCTGCTAAGTTTAACATCTGTGTTATTTTCGAGTTGGTCTCTATTGAATGTGTTTTCTCTTAAGAATAGGGCATATTTTCATAGCATTTCATAATGCTGAAGAAATTTTTTTATTGCACCAATGTTACCAACAGAGACTCTGGATTCTATTTATTATATTCCTCTTAAGCATGTTAATGTGTTTTTTTTTCTGTCTTTGTTTTAGCAAGCAATTTGTATAATTGGATTCAAACTGCAAACCTTGTCTTTTGGGCAGCAGCTCAAATTGTGGTTCAGTTTTTGTGTCCTTAGCTAGGCTGCTTTGAATTGTCCAGATATGTTTATTCTGTTTGTCATCCGGAGACTTGAGCAGAATTTCTACTGAGAACTTGAAGTTTCCTCTTTCTGATTCTCTCTCCTCTTGGATTCTTCCCTCAATATATACTTTTTTAAAAATCGGTTTTAGCTACTCTAGGCAGTGTCAGTTGTGACTTTCCCTCTAAATGGATTACTCACCCTATGTTATTGTATTCTTCCAATGGTTTGATTTCTAATAGAATACACCTCTTTCTATTTACTTTCTGGGGCCTTCAAATGACTTTTTTTTTTTTTTTAAATCAGAGTTTATAGTTATTATCTGAGGTTCAAAATGTAGACACTTATGTGGTGGACATACTAGAAGCCATGTTCACAGTATATTTTTATAAAATATAATTATTTTAGAGGATTTATTATTCCTATGCCTACACAATGATTATGAAGGTAATACTCTGATAATAAAAACAAGTATACTCAACTGATTTTGGAAACGTTCACTTCCTGATATATTCTAGCATTATTGAGATAGTGATTCTGGCTTCTGAAACTTTGTTCATATAATAATAATAAATTTTAAGTACTCTAAGTCCCTTAGGACAAATTATATCACTTACAACACTGCCAAATTAGTCCCCTTTTCAATACTATGAATATACATATTCCACAATAGTGTTATACAGTACTATATTAACAAAAAGAGATAAGTAAATTTAGGTGTTTTCTTCATATGTTAATATCTTTGTACTTTGAGCTTTAATACCCTTTAGTAAGCAGCCCTAACCAATGAATCCTAACATTGGTAGATTGTCCAAGTACTGCTCAAATACTTTTAGAAGCCATGAATCAAAGCTGAAGATGAAATCTTGGTTATGAGAATTTAGGATAGTAAATAAGTAGAAATTGACATATTGTTATCTAAGTCTTTCTAAAACTTAGAGATATCTTAAAGATATTGTACCGTCAAGGGGAATGCAGATGTCTATGAGGAAAGTGTTAAGCTTGTTAAACAGCACAAAACACCCTATGAATAAAGCAAAGGCCATCTCTGAAGATAATGTAAAGGAAGGGGATTATAAGCCCCAACCATAAAGATGAGTTTGGCCATCAACTTCAAGTTCTTTTAGTGAGGGTTTGGTGAATCCCAATTGGTATCACCTTTTAAACAATCCCAAGACTTAGTAAATAAAAACACTGTCAATATAATAAGATAAAATATAATACGATTGTTAACAGCAAGCAAAAATATAATAGTCACTCCAGTATCGAGGCCTTGAAAAGTGTAATAATCCAATGTTAATCTGGGGACAATAGTGGCAAATACTCCATTATAATTAATGTTTTTTCTTTTTTTTTTTTTTGTTTTTTGTTTTTAAACCTACATTTTCTGGAGTGGTTATTTTCACTACCTCTTTAAATAATGGTTTCAGCTTTGATTTGTGACTTAAAAAGACCATCTGAGGAATATTACTATATTTCTTAAAATATATCAATATAAAGTGATTTTGACCAATAATAGAAATAATTTTAAATAAATATGATAGATCAATAACTATTAGGGTTATTTGAAATATAGTAATAAACTAAAACCATGATATAATTATTTTTGAAACCTGGGTTTCTAAAAATTATCTAATCAATGCTCACTTATTGTGAGCATAATTTCACAATGAGCAATACAACATATCTGGGAAAGCTCCTAAAGCATACTGTACCACTCTCAAGGAAGCAAGGTGTTCTGTTAAATTTGAGAGATAGCATGACAGACATTTCAGATTATATTCAGACCAGATATATATGTCAAAATAAATCAAGATTTATTATTCTTTTAAACTGTATGATTCCAAGTAACTTAATGAAGTCCGACATTGGGAATAGCAAGCTTTTTCTCCAGAAATCCTCCTAACATTTCCATTCCCCAAATAATTGCTTTCTTTGCAATTCAAACTAATAGAACTATAACAATTTCTATCACTGAGTAATTAGAAAGGTGACAGGCTTGAAAGAAACTAGTCTTGGATTTTAAAACTAATAGCTCCACTGTAAAATAAATTTAATGTTAGAAATAACTATAAAGGGAGAAGGAGTACACATATATGTCATAGTTTTACAACTTAATTTAATATTTTTATTAATATCTTTAATGACAGTCATTTAATAAGATAAATAAAAGGATTTAAAAATAAATAAAAACACATCTTTAATGTCGTTGTGCCTTGTTTCTTTACCGAGGCAATTGAGAGTGGTATTTTTTTAAATGCTACTCACCTGTAAAACTTTATTCATTCTTTTTAAAATCTTTATTTCTTTAAGGTAGTATTATTCTATAACCAAATTATGCTCTATATAATCAGATCTACACCAAAGTGTCCATTTTATTTGAAACATACACATGCATTCACAGTAAGAGATCAATGCTTAATGATAAAGATGAAATTTTTGCTGACATGATATTTTTGTAAGATGAAAAAATTGAGTCAGGCAGGACTATATGCTAAATTTGATCTTGTAACTAAAATGCATCTGAAAACCTCATGTTAGAATGTCACAGATTTTTTTTTTTATAATTATTTGTTCTACTAGAACTTGTTCTCCCTTTTTGTTTAATAACAAATTCTACTCAAATATGGACTCAACTTTCAAATAAAGTTAACATATTCCTTTAGAAAAGTTTATCTTACAGACCTTGAAGAATAAAGAGTCCTTTTTCAAATCTGCTTCCTGAAGTTAAGCCTCCTAATCTTTTTATGACTTTGCATAGATGTCTGGAGTAGAGTCTTTCTTATATGATAATCATAGTTTGAAAAAACCTCAATGACAAATTGATGTCTCCAAGTATGTAGAAAACAAGAGCCTTTCATAATAACAAGGTCTTTTCTACCTCAAAGTATATATAGTTCTGTACTTTTTGGGAAAGTTAGGAACTGTATTAGTCTGTCACAGTTTTTTAGTGAGATTTATATAAATCTTTCCCCCTGCTATACAACTTAAGAGAAAACAGGGTGTAAGAAATAATTTTTGGTAATCTGAGAAGGGATATTGTGCAAGAGATCATCTTATAATTCAAAATGAAAATGCAACCAAACTATCTCATTTGGAAATTTTATAAAAAATTTTGTTGTTTAATCATTAAGGTACATATCACTGAATATGCTTCCACTCATTATTTACTGTGTTAGGAATATTCTGCAGCAAAGAATTAACTTGACCAAAGAAGTTAAGCCTTTGCCTTTGGTTTCTAGAAGGTAATTTCAAAGCCCTTGGAATATTCTCCTGGATAAAAATATCTTTGTTTATCTGGGGGCCTCTGGCCATGTCTGGTAATCTATGTTAACCCAGTGTCATCTGGACCTCTATAAGGGTTAGAGACTAAGGTCAGCCATGTCGGCTGTCAACCACATCTATTTGATCGAGACCCAATAAAAATTCAGTACACCAAGGCACAGATGAGTTTTCCTGCCTGGCAATATCTACACATATTGTCACACATCAGTGCTGGGAGAAATAGGTGCGGTCTGCATTACTCACTGGGAAAGAAAACTGGGAGCCCTGCACTTTGATGTCTCTGGACTCTGCCCTATGGATGCTTTCCTCTGCTGATTTTAATCTGTGTTTTTTCACTATCATAAGCCCTAACAATGAGTAAAACAGATTCTCTGAGTTCTATTAGGTTTTCTAGCAAATTATTGAACCTAAGTATGATCTTGGAAATCCTAAAACTTGCAATTAGTGTCAGAAGTGAGGATGGTCTTGAAATTCCCAAACTTTGTACCATCAGAGGTCACCTTATCAAATCATAAATTAAATGCATTTGCTGAGAACAATTATTTCCTTACCTCTTTTTTTTTTTTTTTTTTGCGGCGGCAGGGTTTAGAGGGAAGGAATAAAGCTGGTTAACTTCTATCAATCACTATTTTTTCATGTGTGTAATGTGAATAAAAATATCTATCACATAAAATATCTGTGTCAGTTAAGATTTTATAAATATGTAAATGTCCTATCAAATAAGTCTGGCATGTGATATGGACTCAGTAAATGCTAGAATCTAGCTCTCCTTTTTGATTGAAATAATATATACCATAATAATTTATTGAACTTCATAATCGATTCACTTTAATTTGTACAAAAATATTATTTTTCTTTTTCTAGTATGATTTAGTTGTATTCATTTTACCTAAATTATTTTCTAAAATTGAAGTTGAAAATTAATATGTGTATGTGTGTATATACCAAATTTTATAGAAATACAGCTAAAACAGTTTGGTTGTTATGATATTCTATGTCCATGACTTTGTGGTGAGTCTGTGTATCTACATAACAACATTCTGTTAGTTTTCCTTTCGAAAGGCTTTGAAGTTATATAAAGAAAAAATATATATGACTTTATGCAGTGCTGAAACCTGCCATGATTGTGCTGGGAGTTATTTACAGAAGATCTATTTCTTCTGTTGGGAATACACAGCACAAGTTTTTCTTATTGTTCTGGACATCTCACACACTAAACCATTCGTTTTCTCTAAGGACAGAAGAAAATAGCACAATTTGTTCTCAAAGACTACTAGCTGCTTCTGAAATGTGAGGAAGCTCATGGTAAATGGGCAGAATGTTAGACATAAATAAGAAAAATGGGGCAGCAGAAGTAAATCTTTTATGATGCCTTCTCTCATTCATTTATATGGAAGCAGTCTTTTGCCACAGCTACAGGTGACAAGAAAAAAACAGAGATTGCTAGTTTGAAATATTCTTTAGAAAATAACTTTAGCATCAAAGTAATTTCATCATTGGCTTCAAAAAGCACTTATATAAACCTTTTTAAAAAGTACAAACTAAAGATTGATTTACAGGAAATTGATTTATTTACTTGCAATTTTGGAAATGTTATTTTATTATTATTGAATTTAATTCCTATGATGTTCTTGTTTTTTTTTTTTTTTGCAATAAATATTATATAAATCAGACATTAGAGATGAAGGAAAGAAATATTGGAATTTCTGAAAATGTAAAAATAGGTTTCTCCAGCTGAGTATAACCACTTATAAACTGTAGTTTTAAAACTTGATAGACAACAAATAGTTTTATCATTATCTTCCTAGGAAAGATTTTCTTCTCACTCAAAATAATTCAAAAAAAGATAAATTGTCTTTCTACCTGCTGAATAATCAAACAACAAGATGAACAACAACCACAACAATATGAGATAGAGGAGTAGAATTAGTATAGGTCCATACTTACTTAAGCTAAAGAGATTGTGGTAAATTATATTTTCCAAACATGGCTACACCCATATATATTTCTTCTATCATGCTCTTATCATGTGAAGACTAATTTCTATCCCATTGAATATGGGTTAGTCCTAGTAAACTTGCTTATATTAAATAGAATACAGCAAAAGTGACACATTATGACTTCTGAGAATAGGCCATAAAAGACAATACAGCTTCCATATGGTTATCTATCTTTCGTGAGGCTCACTCTTGGACCTTAGCTGCCATGATGTAAAGAAGTCATACTGAGATTTCTGGTGGCAGCTCCACCTGGTTAATAGTTTTAAGTACCAAACACTTGAGTGATTTCAGCCTCCAGTGTCTGAGCATCTGATGCCAAGTGGGACAGAAATAAGTTGTCCCCAATGAGACCAGTTCAAACTACAAATTCTTGAGCAAAATAAATGCTATCATTGTTTTAAGCCAGTAAATTTTGGATTTTTTAAAAAAAAAATCCAGCAATAGATAACAGGAACACTAAATTTGAGGCAAAAAGTTTTGAGACAAGCTAGTCTTATATGTTGCTCAAATAGTAAAGACAATATAGCCAAGGTGGAATTACTGCAGATTATGATGGTCTCTGCTCACCTTTAGTTGCAACTTTTGTGCATATTTGGGCATAACCAATATTACGTCTACAAAGCCCCAGGTAAGCAAACAACATATACACAAGTAACTGAAGATAAAATAGTCATAGATTAATAATTATTAGGTAACTAGTATTTTAAAATAAATATAGCATAATCCTAATATCTATAAATACCTAAAATGGTATAACAAAGTTTTATTCTTTTTTGTTGACTTGAAGATTACTTTATTTTAATAATTTGCTTGAATGAAGTAACACATTTAACTGCTTTGTGTTCTTGAGAATGTGGAAGATACTGTTTTTATTTTTCAACATTATCATAGTATTGTTCTAGAGTGCAGACCAGACCTGCTACAGAAATAATTTTGAACATTTTAATATTTCATCTAGTTTACACAAATCAAGTGAACTCTGAAAGTATGATATATATATAATATAATATGACAACTTTTCTTCAAGTGTTTTTTTAATATTTATACTCAAATAAAAAGAATTATGTATTTTATTGAAGAAGATAGCCTTAATTGTGCCTTTATATGATTATGATGAATCCCTTAAATAAAATTGAGAGACATATCTGTAAATAGTGAAAAAAGCATGCCCTAAATAAATAGAGATAAATCTTTTCCCCTTACCCATTTGTCCACAGGCTATCATCTTTCTTGTCACCACTTTTTGGTTCATTTCCTCTTTTTGTGATCTTAATAGAATACAGTTGAACAGCAGGGACTTTTACCAATCTTATTCTAATGAGGAATGAAGAGAGAGAATCTGTCTGGTACCTTGAACATGCATATTAAATATTGTACAAAGTTAATATTTCTCAGGCAGGGAGCCTCAAAAGGGCCCAGGCCAACTTAGGGCAGAGAACCAACAGAAAACTTACTTCGCTGCTCAGTATACAGCATGTTGTCAGCAATGAGATGGGGATGCTTATGGGTCAAGGTATAAAATCTAAAGGAGTGTCATTTTTTCCTTTCCAATTTAAGAAGTCTTATTTTGTAAACCATTCTGGTTATAAATAAAATTTTTAATTACTTATATTACATTTCAAGCATAATAAACAAATGCAGAAGATTTTTGCTTCTACAGTCTTTTAAGTCCCCTTGCCAAAAATCCTAACACACTAATAATATCGCTAGCCTCAAATTTTGATAAGACATCTCAATGAACTCAAAATAATTTATTTCCCCCTTAAATATCTTCAGCTATGCCTGAAAAATAAATGAAAATTATTATTGTTACTCTTATTTCAAAGATGGAAAAGGAAATAAAGAATTAAAATGAATTCCTGGAGGGCACATTATGATATAGCAGTAAAACATAGAGATTTGTTAAGAAAGTGTGTATTAATGGCTTATTAAGAATAAATTGCTCATTTTCAATCCTAACTCCTATACTTTCTCTTTCTCTTTTCCTCCCTTCCATCCATGGATTTTAAATAAACACCTGCTATGTGTCAACATTTAGACTCTGGGAATATCAAAATTGTTTATCTATGATCTACACTTGTATTTTAGAAAAAAGAAATTAATCACACAGTAAATTAAGTGTTATATTAACAGGTATGAATGAACCACTGTGGAAGCATGTAGGAAGGACTAACTCTACAAGGGCCTGGAAGAAGAGTTAAGAAGCAGAGAATCAGGGAAGAGTAGATAGAAGTCATGAATAGAAAGCAAGTTGATTCTCATTACTTGCTGATTCCATATTTGCAAATTCACCTATTTAGTAAAATTTATTCTCCAGATCAATATTCATGATGATTTTGTGTTCATTTAAGTACAGGTACAGAATGATAAAAAAAAGAAAATTAATACAAGACATTCATATTCTCAGCGAAGGTCAAACAAGGTGATACTTACCTTTTTATTTCAACTCTCATACTATAAAGTTTTTCTTTTCATGGTCTACTTAGAGCCATATTGTCCACATTTTTGTGCTTTTTGGTGATATCACTGTTTAAAATGGCCCCCAAGCATAGTGCTGAAATGCTTTCTAGTGTACCTGAATGCAAGAAGGCTTGATGTACTTTTGGGAGAAAATATGTAAGTTAGATAAGCAACACTGAGGCATGAGTTATAGTCCTGTTGGCTCCAAGTATATTAAATAATGTATCTTTAAACAGAAACACACATCAAACAAAGTTATGTATTGATCAGTTGACAACAATGTTTCAGCCAGAGGCTCAACCCTGCATTTCTCCTAGGAGCAGTGGTTCTATATTCACTAATTTGGTGTTGGCAGAGACATTATAGAACATAAGAATCAGCAGTTTGTGGAATTCCAGACAGTAGATAGAGAAGAAAAGGAAGACATTCCCAGTAAAGAGAATGATTTCTACAAATCCACTAAGTGTGAGAGAGTGATTTGTATTCAGGGAAACACAGAATACCATTTCTGCAGTTATTTTCTGCAGGAGCCCTCCCTTAGTCTTGGTCAGTTGTATCTCTTACATGGACTCCATAATTACTCTGTATTATAGTCAGTTATTTCTTTGTAGCATGCCACATTTTATTTGATATGACACTCTTATTATGGAGCCAATAAATTAGACAAGGAATCAACATCCCAGGCAAAGACAGCCATTTATGGGGTCAACATAGAGAGATAAATGCTCCATTTTCCATAGTAACTAATTGGCCCAATCAAATCTTAGTCTCTTGGGAAAATTGAATATGAGATACTCAGAGAAGGAAGGATAAAAAATAAGTACAAAATAAGAGAATCTGGAAATAGAGAAAAGAAAAATCATAATAAGAAAGTCAAAGAAGTAGGGAGTAGGATTCTCATTTCTTAGAGGACAATAAAATGTCAAATCACCAGAGCTGATATTGGATCACTAGGATTTCTCTTTTATCTACTTGTTTCCGGTTTCCAGAAGGCTCAACTGGTATGTTGAGATAGCTTTGTACATTACACATGTACACACACGAAGACATACACACATATATTTGTTTTTGCTGTTATAAAAAAAACCAAAAACCTTAAATCAATGATCAATTACTTCTCATTCTTAGATATATTGGTTTAGCCAGGGTCAACTATAGCTGCTGGCCAACTTCAAATATTTTCCCAGTGCCTCTAATTCCAGAATCCAACCTGAATACTCACTGGCTACCTGGGCCATGATTTTCTCAGATGGATGGAAGGAGCCCAAGAAGTCAAGCTGAAATACAAAGTATGTATAATAATTAGCATTCCTAAAAGCCAATGTTTCAGAATGTTCAATTTGTAGGAAAAATATCTGACTGTATTATATAGTCTCTTAGGAACTAAAAATGTAATTTTAAACATATGAAAAAGCAGCAAACATTATATATAAATCAACTTAATAACTGAATATATATTTATATACAAATACTATTAAAATTTATCATCAAGAATTTTTAAAAGTATAAAAAACTAAGAATTGATCTACCATATGACCCAGCAGTTTCTCTACTGAGCATTTACCCCAAATACTTGAAAACATTTATTCAAAAAGATATATGCACACCAGTGTTCATAGCAGCATTTTCATGATGGTCAGGACATGGAAACAACTGAGGTGTGCTACAATAGATGATTGGATAAAGACGTTGTGGTACATATATACAATGGAATATTACTCAGTTATAAGAAAAGATGAAATATTGCCATTTACACCATAGATAGGTCTTGAGATAATAATGTTAAGTGAAGTAAGCCAGACAGAAAAAGTTGAAAACTACATGATATCACCAGAGATTCATGGACATAGTAGACTAATGGTTAACAGATGGTAAAGGGGGAGGTGAATAGGAGGAGGTAGATAGGGTAAAAAGGGTCAAATATGTGGTAACAGAAAAAAATCTATGGGCGGTTAACACACAATGCAATATACATATATGACTTACTGTTGAATTGTACACTTGAAATTTACTGGATTTTATTAATCAATGTCACCATAATAAAAATATAAATACTTTTAAAGATTTAAATATTTTTATTTTCCATGATAAAAAACTAGATAATGAGTGCTATGTTATGTATGTCAGCCAAAATTCAGACGATAATGACTAAATGGTAAAGATTCAGAAGACAATATATTTTAGCACTATGAGTCAAAGGACTTGCTAAAAATCAAACTTACTAACATTTTCTCACTTCTTAACTGACAGTTTTATTTGGTATATTCTCTACAAAAAGTTCTCTCTACCCAGAGAGCTGCATGGCTCTTTTTCACATTTTATTCAGGTCTTCATTCAGTGTCATTTTCTCAAAGGTGTCTTCTCTAACCACCCTCACTAAAATAGTGCAATATTAGAACTCTGTTTCGTGTCTTGCAACAGTATTTATTATAAACAAATACTACATTTTATGCTTATTCTATCTTTCCTGAATATAATGGAAACTTCATAAGAGCAGGAGATGTATTCATTTTACTCACTGAAATGTTACCAGTGCCTAGAATAGTGCCTGGCACATTGTTCGCACTCAGAAAATATAAGTCGAATTAAATAAATTGTGCCTTTGAGTGTTAGACAGATAATGATAAATGCATATTGAAAATTAGAAGTCAAGAGACATTGGAATAAATATGACAATTTCTATTTCAATTTTATCTGTGATTTCTACTCATCTCTATATTAGTTCCATCAGTGAACTATACTCATTAATTACTTTTCTGCCTAGGTCTCTGTTGATGTAAATTATTTTAATGATATTTAAATTGTGAAAGAGTCACCCTCAAGGAATGTGTTGCCTAAGGATAAAGTATATATTTTAGACTTATTTAAGGAAGCATATCAACAAATCTGGCAAATCATTTTAGTGTAATCATTATCACAATGTATATATTAAAACCTAAGGCTTTTTCATTTAAAAATGTAAAAATACAATATGTATTATTTTTATTGTATTGTGACTTTAAAAAAAATCTGTTTTTAAATTTAGTATTTAATTATGTACATTTATGCATCAGTTCGGGTTATGTATATAATTTATATAATATAAATACATTAGATTGATAAATTTAATATTCCCATTTGGCTGAATAGATTGTTAGGATGGGATTTTGAAGATTAGTGATAATTCTGTTTAATACATATGAATATAAATCATTACACAAAATTACAGTAATTTGTAGTAGTTAGGCCTTTGTAAAAAGATTATAAGATTAGAAAAAGTATATACTGAAAATTTACCACATAAATCTATAAGTTTGTGTGTATGTCTGTGCATTTATCGTATAAAGCCAAGGAGGCTCCCCTCCCCCATCATAGTATTAATGAAGTAGAGAAGAATGAAGGAATATGCGCAGAGTTAAAATTAAGGATGGGCTTTGCCATGTAGGATTCTTTTGCTATTGGTAAAGATTTTTACCAATACATATATACATCAAGAAGAAAAAGCTGTATTTTTCAAGGATAATATAATGATCAAGGTACATGAACATCTAAAAGAAAACATAGGCATCATTATCTATAATTAAGAAAACGATGTCGATTATTTTGTAGAGCAGATGAGTGCTTTGGGCATTATTTTGTCTCCAAACAGGTTTTTTGCTTTCACTTTGCAAAATTAAAATGTCCACTGAGGAAATTTTTCTACAAAAGTAAATACTTTCTACGAAAATTATAGGCTCTTCTTTCCTGGTCACAAGGAGTTTGCCAGAAGCTCTGCGTGCCACTACATCCTTAATTCTGACATCCAGTGGGAACGGATTATCTTTCTCTTGCTATTTATCAATAATTAATAAATCATATGCTCAGAATTCTACTCTAGTTGCACCATCATAGGTCAGAATCAATCACTGTTATTAATCTGATACGATCCACTTCAACTAAGAACTGTGATTAACATCAGCTTTTGCAGAGCTTTTGAGACAGGCTTTTCCAAAGCACTTGGCAAGAATAGAAAACCCAAGTTCAGAAACTAATATAACAAAAAACATATATTTTTTATACAAGGAACTTTTCACTTTTACATTCATAACACACTTATCTTTATGTATGTGTATGCATTAAATATTCTTACTTAAAACATATATAGAAAGAGGGAAACAAAAGTATACAAAACAATAATGTACATTGCCCAGACCAGAAAATTTTTCGATGTCTTTCTAATGGATTTACAATTTAAATCTTCTTTCACAAACAATTTTTCTTTTTCTAAATAATAAATTTCTTTAAGAACCAAGCCAATAAGAGACTTATTTGGGAGAATGTCATCCATCTCTCTTAAAATAGTGATCCAAGTAGTACCTTTTAGTTTTATGTTTTTTTTCTCAATCAGTCAATATATTTTACTGAGAGTAAAACTGAACCACAGATATAATAATTTCATAAATAAATCATTTAAGTCTCAAAATTGAGAGTTTATGTAGCTAAATCTGGGGAAGATGAGATACGTCAAAGTAATCTTTTTAATGTTTTTGTTCGAATATTTGTACTACCTTATTTCATTGGAACTATGATTTTTGTCAACTGTAAGTCAATGTTACTTGATGTTTTACTGAGGAAGAAGAGAAGTCTACCAATTACAATAGAAAAATGTCATTAGTTGTTAAGTATATTCTTAATTCATAGATGTTAAATTATTAAAACACGAGTGACTTAGAGTTGAAGAAATATAATTTCATCAGAGTTGGGGGAAGCTACATCAAAATATTATACAGAGACAAATGCACTCCTTTGTTAATTTATTTACTTTTATTTTTTTAATTAAGTGTATCGGGGTAACATTGGTTAATACAATTATATAATTTTCAGGTGTACATTATCATTTGACATCTGTATATTCTATTGTGTGTTTATTACCCAAAGTCCAGTTTCCTTCAGCTACCATATATTTGATCCCTTTTACCCACTTCACCCTCCCCCAAAACCCTATATTTAGCCCCCTTTACCCCATCTACGTCCCCCCTCCTCCTCACCCCACTAGTAACCACTAGTCTATAGTCCTCTGGTAACCATTAGCCTATAGTCCATGTCCATGAGTCTCTGTTTGTTTATCTTGCTCATTTGTTGCTTTTAAGTTTATATCCCACATATAAGTGACATCATGTGATTTTCATAATATTCATCTCTTCTTATGGCTGAGTAATATTCCATTGTATATATGTACTACCGCTTCTTTAGCCAATCATCTATCTTAGGACACTTTGGTTGCTTCCATGCCCTGGCCACTGTGAATAATGCTGCTGTGAACATTGGTGTGCAAATATCTTTTTGGATATGGGTTTTCAAGTCTTTGGGGTAAATACCCAGTAGAGGGATTGCTGGATCATATGGTAGATCAATTCTTAGTTTTTTGAGGAACCTCCACACTGTTTTCCATGGTGGCTGTACCAATTTGCAGTCCCACCAGCAGTGTTTAAGGGTTCCTTTTTCTCCACATCGTCTCCACTTCCTTGCTAATTTTAAAAAAAGAAAAAGCAATTCATTGTCAGGACTTGTCTTACATAAGAATTATTCTTTGCTGATGAAATTTTTCAATATACTTATAGGCAAGTTTAGAATATCGTTAATACATTTCAAAAGAAAATCAAGACATTTTAAATGAGCTGGTATTCTTTTTATATGGTAATTTTAAGAAGATATTTAATTTTTGAATTTAAATCTTATTAAATTGTTGTCTTTGGTAGAGTTGCAAACTAGAAGATAAAAATAATTTTAAAAAAACAGAAACTCAAACAGTGATAAAAGATATACTTCAATGGTAGAGTATTGAGACTTAAAAGAATTAAAAAATTAACATTCAAATTCTTAGCATAGTTTTAATGAAAATAGAAAGGGAAAAATCAATTCACTCTAAAATAAACATTATAATACGGATATTGTAGTTCCCTTATTTTTTCCCCTCTGAGGTTGAACAATCTTGATGAGATGCTCATCAGATAAAGCATCAATTTATTTTAGCACTCTTTATTTGCACAAATTTATTTCCTCTGCTTGTTTTCATTTATGTAGTGATCGTCTAATCAAAATAGTTTTTATAAGTCTGAGTGTCCCTTGATAATCATCATGGAAATGGTCGATTACACCACAAAAGTATATTAGTGTTCAAAAATTCTTTTAAGACTAGTTAGCAATTATACAATAACCCTCAAGTAGAATTACTTTAAGAATTTTGCTGCTAGATGAGTACATCAAAATCAGAAATTTAAATAAAACTCACTTTCCTAATTGCAGCATAGATATAATAATC